TCCTTTCCCCCTCACCTCTGCCATGCATTTACATCAAAGATTAGACAATAACAAAAGTCTGTACTTGAGCCAAAAGGACAATTCAGCCAAAGCTTATGCTGGTTTCTGTTGCATGATGAAGTGACTGAGAGTGTTACAGCCGAACCTTGATCATCCAGACTTGCTGGGACTCGACAAAATATTTTGGATAATTGAGGGTCCAAACAATTAAGAATATCAATATTAACAAGGAACAAAAACTGATTAAATTAAGAAAGTAACATTTAATCATGACACAAAACATTTACATATCATTTTCAGAAAAAAATGGCCCACACCTTCACTGTCCATTGTGATTACCTCTGTGTGTATTAACAATTAATTAAATTAATCAGGGCTTTATGAAGCTGTTCATTATGTGCAACTTTCAGCAATTATGCTTTAGTCCTTCACTGGTCTCTATGTTGTCAGCAAACTTCATGATCTTTTCCTTGATCATGAATAAACATGTGTGATGCTGTATTGCTTGTTTATCTTGCATACCACACCAAATGAACCAATGGAGTGTGAAATCTCACTCAGCAACAAAGCAACTCTAAGCCAATCAGACCTCATTGGAATGTTAATTCTTTGTTAGTTACAACATGCGCGAGCACTGCTTTCGCTTTTTGAAAGCAAAACAAACTCGCCTTTAGTTCACTTTTCTAATAAATATTCCTGAGAAAATTGGGACAAGAAAAAAAGGCCGAATAATTGAGAAATCCAGATAATCAGTGCATAAAATCGAGGTTCAACTGTACTACTCCTCTAGGATGGGATGCAAGTCCAATGAACTCACATCCCATCCTTGAAATTGAGGTACTCTTGTTTGAAAAAAGTGTTTTTTTTATGTTTACTCCACCTTAAGACTAGTCTAAGTCTGGTCATAGACTAGTTCTAGATGAGTTTAATGCATATATTTTGATCCTCTTATCTTTAGCTTCTCTGTAGCTATATTTTTTGGAAAATGAAAATCTAACCTAAAATCTGATCTGAAATTTTTTTCTTCTGGCATAAGTAGTCCTACTTAAAGAGGATGAGTAATTCTCACTTAACAATAAAAAAAATTTATCTTCATTTTTTTTAATATTTGGTTCAGTTTTTTTTCTTTTTTTTTAATTTACTATGAGGTATTTTCTTTTGGCCATTAAAACCTATTGTCACCTGTCACCTACATCCATTCTTCAATAGTTAACATCTATGGTAGTTAAGTTCATACTTCACCCCATAAACTTCTCATTAAGTATCTGCTTATTTTCTTGCCAAAATTTTGAAGGATCTATAACATTCTTGCCAAGATCTTCAACAATCTTCAATTTTATTGCCAAGATCTGCAAGGATCATGCCAAGATCTTTAAGTATCTTCAAATTTCATGCCAAGATCTTTAATTTGCTTTTCAAAATCTTTAAGGATCTTTCTTTTTCTTGCCAAGATCCTCAAGGACCTTTTATTTTCTTTCCAAGATCTTTAAGGATCTTCAAATTTTTCAACAAGATCTCTGAAGATTGACAACAAGATTGTTCAGGATCTTGGTAGGAAAGTGAAAGATCCTTGAAGATCTTGGTGAGATCTGAACAAGAATTTGGAAGATCCTCAAAGAATTTTCAAAGATCTTTAAAGGATCTTCAGAGTTCTTGTCAAGATCTTTGAAGATCTGAACAAGATCTTCAAGGGTCTTGACAGGAAAATGAAAGATCCATAAAGATCTTGGCAAGAAAATGAAAGATCCTTGAAGATCTTAACAAGAATTTTGAACATTGTCATGAAGATACTCAAGAGGATCCTCAAAGGTCCTCATGAAGATCTTGTTGGATTCTCTAAGATCCTTCAAAGATTTTCAACAGGGCTGAGGACCACTTGAAACTTTGATGTTTGCAACTTGCTTTATCCCACAGACAGGTAATGAGAATAGAAAACAGACACAGCAGGAGACTATAATTTCCCATTGATCTAGTGCCAAATTCTCTCTACCAAGTTAGAAGCAAATGTCAAGAGGCACGATAGACAGAGTTAGGATTAAGATATTAGGAGTTAAAGTGTTACAGAATTTAGCTCACCTGAATGTAAACATACACTTTTCTTCTCTGTAGAGTTTATGATCAATAATCTGATAGTGTACACCATGATCAGCTGAATTATCAAAGTCTTTCTTGGTGATTCCTCCTCTATCTTTCCAAATTCTTAAATCATCATCAATCACATCACTATAGCAACCACATTTTTTGTTTGAGCAATCTTGGTATTTAGCGGTAGCTTGTTGTATTTCCTGAAGATATCTTTTCCATGATTCTTTAAATAAAAAAGATAATTTTAGTGTGTATCATCATTTTGTTAATTTATTTATTTATTAACATTTTGCTTGACACACATGTGAATAAAACATTAAAGCATGAATTATCACAAAAGAGAAAAGTACAAGGGAAATACTAAAATTGGACCATGGTTTAATTTTGAGAGCTTAAAGGATGTTGATCTAATGGTCCAAATGGTTGGACTTTCCCAAATTTTAATTTTCTCTTTTCTTACCATTCCTGGTCTTTGTGTTTCAATTATTACAAAGTATACCAATAATAGAGGCACACAGTTTCAAATTTTTACCGTTATGAGTACCCACATTTTAAAGGCTGTGATTAAATGCCCGGCAGCCGGACACGGTCTCAAATAGACTAAATGCCCGGCAGTCAAAAATTTTCACGCAACTTCAACCTAAAGGCACTTTCAAACTTCTTGAGAGTATTAGATGTTTGTTAAGAAATGTCAAGCGATTCCAAAAATTTATCAATTAAGTCCATTTGAGACCGTGTTCGGCAGTCTGATCAGAAGCGTAGAATTTCCAAGTTTTCGACAACCGAGTGATATTACAGTATGCACAAACTCGGAGAATTTGTCCACTGAAAAACCAAATAAGTTTTTGGAATCGCTTGACATTCTTTACCAGACATTTGATACTCTTGAGAGGTTTGAAAGAACCTTTCGGCGGAAATTGCGTGAAAATCTTTGACTGCCGGCATGTATATGTAGTCTATTTGAGACCGTGCCCAGCTGCTGAGCATTTAGTCACTGCGTATTTTTAAAATAAATCATCTTAAACCATATCCAAAAGACCTTCCCTTCTGGAAAAAAATTTAAATCATTAATAATTCAATTGATTCCACTACAGTCAAGCCAGTTAAAATTTAACACGTCACCGTGGGAAATTAACTGAGTCACGCAATTTGCTACATGTACACGATAGAAATTATGTGACTATGGAAACCCCTCGCGGTTTGTTAAATTTCCTTTTGCGATTTGCCGAGCGATCAGGAATTTTAATTTCTACGATATTCTGAAATAAGAATTATTTTTTAAACTTCACTGACCAAAGCATAAAACCACATGTTCAAGCGAGTCACAAAATGATAAACAAACAAAAGTTGTTGACGATCGATTTCGGCTCAGCAATACCTTTCATTGTGTACTTAGCTTTGCTTCGTTTTTCCTCATCTCCATCACAAGAACCATCTTTCGAGCAATCACCTTGCAAATTAGACCCAAAAACAGCGTTGTAAATATTTACAAGAAGCAGAATTGAAACTAGCACGCGAGGAACCATAGCGTGCGCTGAAATTTTATTTGTGAAAAACTCCCCACATATTATATGATGAACATGATGAACATGTACTCTATTACCGCTGATAAACTTTACATTGTCGAAAATAAGCCGAGAAGCTTCCGAGCAAAACTAACCAATTAAGGTATGACTATCAGAACCCGAGGTATGAGATCGGTTCCGAAGATCGCGGGCGCAGATAGTCGTCAGATGACGATTTTTGCTTTCGATATCACCACATTTTTGCTTATTATTGTTGTTCTCGTTTCCTTGAAGAGAGGACATCACTTTTAAAAATCCCATGCAGGTATTTAATACAATTTTTTTCTCATTATTTGCCACTTTTAATGGTGAACAAAGGAGCCGTCTCGTTGTTTTTCTTTGTTTTGTATACAATTATTATTAACTCCTTTTCCTGACAAACAGCGCGTGTCACTATTTTTGTCAGCCCGCGTGACCAACGTAAAATTCCTCAAAATACATCATTACTGCTGTTGACCCCCTGGGTTATTTGCCCTTTTGGGCTGATAAATACAGGAAAATCACATTTGCCAACAGTTCACTCCTTTAGAAGGACCTCGCTTTTTTTAACTTGCAGTGACATTACAGTTCTCTTCAGTTTTCTTGTAGGTAACCACAAAAATGGCTGACTCTCGCAAGGTTCAACTCAGAAAGAGATTCTGCGGCAAAACTGGCAGTGTTTTGTCGATGCTTTTTATGACCTCTTCGTTCTTTCTGGTTGAAATTATTGTGGGTTATGCGACGAATTCAATGGCGCTTGTAGCCGATTCGTTTCACATGTTATCGGACGTTTTGTCACTGCTGATCGGATTTTTTGCCTTGCGGTACTCTAAGCGCAGTCAGCGAACTGAAAGAAACACATTTGGATGGCAAAGAGCTGAAGTATTGGGAGCTTTGGTGAACGCTGTGTTCTTGATTGCACTGTGCTTTTCCATCCTTGTCGAGTCGCTGAAGCGATTAGTCGAGACAGAAGAGATCCACAACCCTATTCTCGTTCTTATTGTGGGAGTCGCTGGTTTGTTGATAAACGTAGTCGGTTTGATTCTCTTCCATAAACATGGACACGGGCATAGCCATGGAGGAGGAGGACATGGACATAGCCATGGAGCCCAGAATGGAACTGATCTGAAAGATCTATTGGTATCCAACAATGGTAAAACCACAGGAATGGAGCGGAAGTCGAGCAATTCGTCCGAAGATGAAAATGAATTGATCAGCGAAATTTCAAATGGCGTCGTACCAGAAGGTAATCAAAATTTTGATTTCCTTTTTTTTTTTTTCCGAGAATATTATTTAACTTTCTATAATATCCTCTTGAATGCGATACAATCAAGTTTGGTCTAGGTATTCACTAGATTACCCTAATCAGCTGCTATAGATCTTTTTGTTCCGATTTCTTGCTACACAAAATATTTTTTGTCTTGCTGCGAAGGATATTGGTGGGCTTTATATCTTGTTGACAGCTGCGCTCAATTTTGACGTCTTTTTACGTTTTTTGTAGTAAATTACGCGGATTTCGTGTGTTCATGACCGAATACACCGGCTTTATGAAAGGGTTTCTGTGGTGTTTAATTTTATGCAATAACCGGATAAATTACGAAACCACTATCAGGTGGATCCATCTCCAAATCCATTTTAAGTCTTATATCTCGGATTAGGTATTGTATCTTTATCCGATGTACTCAGCTCTACATGTTGAACTTTCATTATCATGTACATGTCCAGCTCAAGGTTTTTATTTTGACCCAGCCGGTCAAGCAGATTATTAGAATCCTGGCTTATCATGAAAAAATTTAGTGTGGCACCATAACACAATCAATTGTCCTTTTGTCCTTCGTTTTGTTTTGGTTCAGAATCTTTATTTAACCTTTTTCCTATCGTCTCACCCATCTGCTAGCTAAAATTCAGTTGATATAACAAATTGAGGACTTCATATCTATCCTGGCTTTCTCCATACTCTTTCCTCTCAACCCACTGATATAACAAAGAATAATTGTGTGGTGGGGTGTGTGGAACAAAGCCTCAATCCTTCAACCCTTAACAACTTAACATAAGAGTGCATTTTCTCAATTCTCTCTTCTGTACATTTTCTAAGGTGCTGACAGGGAGAATTTGTTAAAAAATTCAGAGTTTTTATGGTTTAAAGAAGAGGTCTGAAACCCATACGTTAATTTTTAATTCAGGGATAAACCACAGACTGCATCAACATGCAATATAAATGTTTTATGTGGTTTGAGGCAGAGCTTGTGGTATTTATTAGCCATGTGAGATTTGAGAGTTCTCTGCTTAAATTTAGCAGGCTGGCTCTCATTCAGACAATAAGAATTTTCTGTTACTTTGCACTATTCCTTGGCTATTGCATTTCTCAATCACAAAGTAATAGCTAATCATTTTCTTTGTTTGTTTGTCCTTTAGCAGTTTTCTTGTCAGAAGGAAATGGGAAGGTCCACACAGTTGTTTCAAAATCAAACACTTCTCAAATGAAAGTCAAGTCTAGCTCTCAGCTTAACATGCGCGGTGTATACCTCCATGTCCTTGGTGATGCCTTGGGGTCTGTCATTGTTATCATCAGTGCTTTGATAATCAAGTATGCCTCTGGTAAATGGACAGTTTATGTGGATCCAGGCATGAGTATTATCATGGTTCTACTTATTCTGAAGACATCCATCCCCCTGATGCGTGAATCGTCCCTGATCTTGCTTCAAACTGTTCCCACACACATCAAGATCAAAGAGGTACAAGATCGACTGTTGGACAACGTGGAAGGCGTGCTGAGTGTGCATGAATTTCATGTTTGGCAATTGGCTGGGAATAAGATTATTGGTAAGTTTTTTGCTACTTTTCAGTGAAACTTGGCAAGAGATGTTTCTGGTAATCAAAATTATAACAACATTCTTGAATGTGATTGCTCATCAGCTAGCTGATTAAACACCAAAAGAACAGTAAATCACCATGCCCATAATTGTACAATGTAAGAAGACAGTTTTATATGTCATGCCGAATGGCTGTGTAGTATTACAGTATGCATCATTTACATTTCTGTTACACAGACAAATAGGTTCACATTTTGGTGGGGAAAAAAACTGTCACTGTCCATGATAAACTTATCATATATTTTTCACTTGAAGTTTTATGGTTAATTTACAGTTTGAAGCAAGCTTGTCATTTGTTGTGTGTCATTCTTTGGGCATATATATCCAGCCATGTTCCTTCTTTGTTTGAGTCCTTCAATTTTTTCATTTTTGTTTTGCCAAACAGATGTTTTTTTTAGTTTCATTCAGTGTGAAGATATGTCACTAAATTGACCTAAAATATAACATGATTTATCTTATGGACCACATTGCCCTGCACATGCTTTTATTTCAAACCTCCCTTAAAATTCTTGTACGAGGGCCACAGGCTGTGGTGTAAGTGGGGCTAGGAGGAAAGAGAAGGAACACCAGAGATTTGGTAAAATCTTTCTTCACTGAGTTAATGATTGTGCAAAAATGGTAAATATTTGGCTCCCAGTCATGGGTTACTGTTTGTCTTGACCATTTGCCAAATATTTCTGATCCAGCTCTCCCACACAGTTGATAAGTACATGTATACAGTATTGACAATCTGTTGTTTTTTCAGCATCAGCCCATATAACCTGCCGTTCTCCAGATGAATACATGAACATTGCCAACAAAATAAAGAGGTTCTTTCACAATGAAGGCATTCACTCTACAACTATCCAACCAGAGTTTGTTGTGGAAAATGAAACAGACAGCCAGTGTGCCTTGGAGTGTGGGAAAGATGAGAACTGCGCTGCACAGAAATGTTGCCCAGGTGAAAATGAAACAGAGATGCGCAAACGTGGCGCTTGCCTAACAGATGGGAAGGGTGAGCTAATAAATCATGAAACAATGGTATAAAAGTGTCAACATCTATATGTACAGATTGTAGGATGATATGCAATAAATTTTTATGAACTGGGGACATTCATTCATTCAACTCTTTAAGTATCAACTCATTGGACTTGAACTGTCTGCCATACATTTCTAAGCTCTGAGAATTTGTTTTTCAATGAGCATTATCCCCCAGTGTGATGTTCTCTCTGTCTGAACAGTGTATTGAAGTTGTAAGGAGATTTTTCATATTGGTCACTCCTGGGATTGAAGGGCTTAAATGTATTTTGTAAATATTTATACCTTTCACTCCCAAGATCTTATTACTAATTCCCCTTACTGACCACAATACATTTTTTTGTGATGAGAATTTGGTTTTGGATTAACTGATCCCCTAATTGGTATTTTTCTTTATTCTCATCACTTGTGAGCTTGATGTGGTATTGAAATATTGTTAAGAGAAATTCTATCAGACTCTCATTGCAGGGAAAGTTTTAATTGAGAAAATGTAGTAGATACATGTAAGCTGCTTAGTAGTTCGTTACTCTTAGCTTTTGGTGAATTTTCAGCCAAATTTGTTTTGCAAAGGTTAATGTAATCTGATTGCATGTTCAGATCACATAGAGGAAAGTGATCCTGAAAAGCACTGCTGTTAGTCATAGTGACTAGCATTTTGACAACCTTGGTGGAAGTCAGCAGTCAGAATGACTTTTCATCCCTTGAGTGAAATGTTAGCTTCTGCTGAGCTTGTTGAAGTGTCAGTTGCCACTGCTCCTACTGACATCAGCCCTTCCTTCCACTCCAACTAGACAAATAAACTATGCAATCAAATGTAACTCCTGGGAGCAAACTGTGCTATTAATAAAAATTAATTTTAGTATTTTCTTAAATATAACATTATGGTACATGACATATATTTAAACTGAGTTGTCACACAACAAATTACATTAATTATAACAGCCTTTTAATGGTGAAAAGCTAGTTTTGAGGGCTGATATTTGTGGTTATTCAGTTGTATTTAGCCGTTATTTACTATAGATCGTACAAAGCTTTATTCTAAGTGATCCATTGTGTGTGACTGACTTGTCTCTAAAGTTTATTTAAGGAATTTAAATTCCCTGTGTCATTGTTTACATGATTTATTTACATAAGTCCCCCAGTTCACCAAACATAGTGGAAAAGGAGCTTGTAGGGGACAAATTGATTGATTTGAAAAACCAGAATATATAAAATTATGTGAAAGGCTATGTAATTATACTTAGAGAGAGTTACATGTATGTTGGTAGTTGAAATATGTCTAACACCTAAATTTCTAGTCATGATATACGGCCGTCTTAAGACTATGCTAAGGAGACAATTTTTTAGCTTGTTTTAGTTGGCCTGGACCATTTGACAAATTGATTCCATGTTGCTGTGCTTCTGTTCAGTGTCAGAAAATAGATGATGCCAAAATGTGGCATAGCTGAGTGTGTCACTGATGTCTTCTGTGATCTGTTGTACACTGTGTTCTGTTTTAAATTATATAATAAGCTCAGTTATGCATGCATTCTGATTGGTCCTCACACATGATCTTTTGGAGGATAGATCTATAGATGAGTTCATCATTAAAACTTTTTTTTAATTCTTTATTATTTAAAACAAATAGATTCCAAGTTGCCGTGCGTCTGTTCAGTAATAGATCACAGAGTACATCAAAATGTGGTAAGAACATCAGTGACACACTCGGCTGCACCTCATGTGCCACTTTTTTGTTCTTATCACATGATGGTAAGAAGTTTATTAACAGAGTGACATTCGTTAGGATTTGTTCACTAGTTCTGAAGTAGTATTTAAGTAATCCATTTGCTTACATCACAATTGTGGTAGTGTAGATAAATTCTATGCAATCAAGAAGGTAAAGCTTGGTGAACACTCCATCAAATCATACCATTTAAAAGTTTATTTTATGGGAAGTGCAATCTTCATCATTTTATTGGTGGGTTTGAGGTATTAATATAGATGTTGTGGGAAAATTATATGAGGGACAAATGTAAGGAATACTTATGCTACAAAAAGGAAATATCTTAATATAAAGCCTAATGTTTCCAAAAACTCACAGCATCAAATAAGGATTGAGAGCTGAGCAAAGTTTGATTTCTCATCTTTTTAAGCTTAATGCACAGTTAGCATTTTTGTTTTGACAGGTCAAAATTACTGGTTAATCCTTTAACAAGAGATTAACATGTAAGTTCTTCCCATAATATCCGTTCATTATCCAGAAACAGGTAATGAAAATATTCAAACTTATCTGGTGTAAGTTATTATTCTGATCCAACACCTAATTCTTGTAACTAATTTACAAGAGAATGTGTTGCAGCTAGAAGGGAGAATTAACAACCAGATCTTGCGTGTTAAAGGGTTAAACAGTAACATACAAATCTGTGCTACGCCACTAAACCCTGGTGTCTCTAGAAAAGAATAGAGACTCACAGAGGATTATTAAACGTGTCACTGGGTGTCTTAAAAGTAGTAAATAAAAAAGGAAAAAATACAAGTATAAACGAGAAGTTGGTTTGTTACAAGTGAATACTGATGGCAGGCAGGTTTAAATCAAAACACGGTGACACGTTATTCAATTACGACGTCGTTTGAACTGTTTTCCCATTTGGTGATCATCATGCATTTGTTGTGACGTCTGAAGTTAGAACGATCACTTGTTTTGTGACGTCTGAAGTTAAAATGATCACGTTTTTATGGTGACGTCTGAAAAGAGAGTTTTTTTTTTAATTTTTTTAGAACCTGAAATGTGCCTGTAATGCCAACTTACAACTATTTGTGTTTTTTTTACGTGTTGAATCTAACATATATTTTGAGTATTTTAGATGTTCATTGCATTATAATTTTGAACTATTTTGTTTACTTCACTTGAAGGGTGTAGAATCTCTTACAAAAGAGATTGAAGTTAAGTTTCTTATTTGCCGTAGTTTGTGTTCGGTTATAGATCCACAATGTTTATGGTTTTGATAAAGTTTTATTTGACTGAAACTTATTTTTAGACAAAGTACCCATTAAAGGTGAATATTAAAGAGAGCATTTGTTTGAACACGTGAATTAAAACTGTTACTGTACAAGAACTTGTGTTCTTTTGCGAGGAAACGGATTATATTCGATGGGAGGATTTTCGAACTCATTGTCAGTGTGAAAAGTATTTAAAGAGAATATGATTTGTAATAGGGAAAAAGTTGGAGGAAGAGATTTGATTTTTTTGGCGAAGATCGAATGACTGGGAACTCACAGGAGTCATGGTGATCCCTTAAAATCCCTGGGGTTTTAAGGTGGTGTTATACTCAGGGGTTTGGGCTGTGTGCCGACATACCTATTTGCAACAATTTTGTCAATGGGAGAGTTCGAACTTATCGTTAGTGTGAAAAGTATGTCAAAGAAAATGTGATTTGGAGTTAGGGAAAAATTGGAGGAAGAGATTTAACTTTTTTTGGCGACGATCGAATGACTGGGAACTCGCAGGAGTCATCGCGATTCCTTAAAATCCCTGGGATTTTACATTAATGGGGTTTAGGTGGTGTTTTACACAGGGATTTGGGATGTGTGCGGATATTCCTGTTTGCAATAACGTTATAGAGAAAGGAAAACCAGAAAGAGAAAAACTAAATGGGAATTTCTTAGCATTTAAATCCAACCGCGGGTCATGTGCCCGGCAGTCGAGCAATTTTCACAGAATTCCCACTCAAGAATTCTTCAAACTTCTTGTGAGTATGAGTTGTTGTTTGGAAATTGAAAATGATTTCGTGTTTCTCCCAATCATTGTCTCCCACATTCTCCATTAGCAGAAATTAAGCCCATAACGGTTATGTAATGGAAAGTCCACAACTAACACCCATTTCTCATCATGAAGTTACTAAGAAACATTTCCAATAGGTAACGATGGTAATTCGAAATGACATCAGATTTGCGTCGCTTCGCCAGTGACCAGTGATATTGTAACGTTCGTTTACGGCGTGTTCCATTTATGATTTACTTTAATGGGAAGTTAATCCGTTTACGGCCCTATCCCTTTTTTAGGTTGGTTCGGAGATGGAGTACAATGTATTTTATGGGTACATTTAGCTTGACGATGCTCGCCGGAGGTGTGAATTAAGTCCACGTAATCTAAAGACTTTCCCCTGTTTTCTCCAAGTTTTTTTCTGAAGTGCTTTCCCCTCTGCTTAAAGTACCTTCAAAGTCTGGTGGGTATTATTTGAGAGATCAACGAAGAAAAGCCTTCAACAGAAATTTTAAGAAACTATGTTTGGCAAATTTATGCCAAATTCGTTCCAAGCTTGAAGTGCGAGGCAGAATTTACACGTGCAAATTAATCTTTCAGCTCATTTGCATTTTATGGTTCCTCATGGTTTGAACTCTCGGAAGAAAGAAACGAAAAATGGTCAACTAGTGAAGACTAACATCCGAACATGGCCTGAAATACGAAAAAATTCTGGTCGAAATTTAGCTTAACAGAATGTAGGTTAAGAGTGAATGGTTTAATTTGTAGGTTGTCGCCTCTGGCATGAAGATAGGAAGATTTTAAATAACGGTGTAAATGTTTTGATTTATTGAGTTAACGGCAATCTTTGTCAGAGGAACGGTTGACTATCACCGAAGAATTCCTTAATTAAAAGGTGTATCTATTACTAAATAGTTGGTATCAGTCTGTCGCAGCTAAGTAGAAGTCAAACCCTCCCCCAAAAGGCAGCGGTGCAACAAAAATCCGGACTTGGAAAATAAAAACCGGGCATCGCCATAGTCAAAGAGTAAGTAGAGAACATTTTTGTTAAAAGGAGTTTTTAAGCTTTTTTTTCTTTTGCTTTGCAGAGTCAGTCGCCCATGTTTATGGAAAGAAGAAGAGAAAGACGCAGTTGTTAAACACCTTAGTTCATTTCTCAGACAAGGAAGATTTCCAGGCGAATTGGACTGTGGGGACTGTATTTTAAAGGCAAATGGTATGCTGGGACTGGTATGCTGTTAAACATTTTGTTAAAAATTAGATTTAGAAGAGAAAGAGGGTTCTTGCCCCCCCTCCTCCCCCCTAAGATTCGCTAAGTGAACTGATCTGAGTACCCCGCACTAAATGACAGCCCTGATACCTTGCTACAATTCGACCTCAAGAGATGCAAGGACAACAAAGAGCAGTAATTCATGATGATTAAGGGGTGTTTCGCTGTTTCGAGATTCGAGTTATGTAAGCCTCCTCTTGCCTTCTTTATAAAAAGATACTCGCAGGTTTGAGTCTGGAATTTAAAATATAAAGGTTAAATCTTTCCTGTAAATGGTATTTTATCCCCTCTCAGTGTAAGTAGCCCCCTTAAAAAGGATTCCTGTTGATAAAAATTTCGGATCAATATCAGTATCTGGGCAACTGCCCACCTACCCTCCCTTAACCCAACATTAACCCTCACTTTTTATCAATTGACTATTGTTGAGTTAGGGGAGGGGTAGGTGGACAGTTGCCCAGATACTGATATTGATCCAAAATTTCTTCCCCTCTCACAGTACACACACACACACCCATACTCATCTTTGCCAACTTGGAGCTACTTACATTGAAAGGGGCCTTGTACGTCATGGGCTTTAGGAGTTTGGAAAGGGGAATTTATATCCAGAAGATTAAAAGATTCTTTAAGTGATTTACAAGAGATGGACCAAAACCATAGAAACGGTAATTCTGATTCTGGGGTGAGAAGTGAAACTTTGTTACCGAGAAAGCTTTTTGGGGTAGGGAGGGAAGGGGAGGGGAGAAATTTCCAGAGCAAGGGGGGAGGGGGGGAGGGAGGAAACACATCAAGCCCGCAAATTTATTGTCATATTTATATTCATAAGTGGTATCTTTAAAATCTGTACAGGCATACTAGCAGCCGCTTGAACGGGGCAAGCTAGTTAAAATAAATAAACTTCAACTATATATAAATCTCTACATTTTTGTCTTTTGTCTTTT